CTTTCCCTCCTGAGGCCATGAGATCCTGGAGGGAACTGAGGATTATGGGGTTTCTTGGGATGCTAAGGAAGGGTGGGGGGCACTGAGGAAGTCAGGAAACCCCCCAGCCCCCCACCAGTTCTCTGAGCCGCCTGATCCCCTCAGAGGTGGAATTTGGTCTTTTAGACCTGGGCCTCTGACTGTCTATATTTGACACCTTACCCTGATTTTGGGCTAAAAAATAGCGCATGATTTGGAGCAGTGCTCCCTGACTCCCTGGTGACTGCCGCTGTCTGAGTGCGGGAGCCGGTGGCATGTGGTCCTGCCTTACTGTGTCTGACTTGTGACCTTGCTGGGATTTCCTCCTCCCCACCTGGGCAGCAGTCCCCGTTTTCCCCTCTCCCTGCCCCCACTCTGCGTGGACACTCAGTCCAGGGCCTCGTGTCCCGCTGGTGACCCAGTTATTGCCTTTGTGGAGGCTTCTGCTGAGGACAGAGCGCCCAGTTCCAGATTGTCACCTGGGCCCAGGGCTCTTGGAGAGGCTGGTCCCATCATGGTGGGCAACGTGAGGGGTGGTCTGGGCCCTCTGAGCCTGAGGCCTGAGTTTCCTGCAGGACTTCATAGACTGAGCAAAGAAGATGAGGGCAGAACCCAGGGCAGGCTGTGAGGGTGTTTTGGAGGTCAGTGTGTGTGTTCGTGTGCACACACACTATGAGATTGCGTGGGGGAGGGGCTCGGTGACCTAGGCCACCACAAAGACGGCGATGAAGGGACCCTGACTCAGAGGCAAAAGTGGGCCAAACCCAGTTTGCCCGGTCTCAGCTCACACCAGCTCCTGTCCTAGGACCTGGGACAGGTGTGCAATGAGGACAGAGTCACAGGCGACCCGCCCACCAGAGTCCAGCTGGGCACCATCTCATCCTGCCCTACCCCCGGCTAACCCAGGGCAGCGGACCTGGCATTTGCACCCTGTGCAGACTGGATCGCCCTCCCTCCAGGGGGCTTGAAGGCTGCTGGCCAGGTGTTATGAGGGCAGCCCAACGGCCTGCTGCACGATGATGAGCGTTAAGGGCCTGAGCTTGAGTTTCTCTGATGCTGTGAAATTGAGGGCAATGAGTTGAGTGGCCACATAGCTCCCCTTCCCCAGCCATGCTCCCAGGCTCACCCTGGGAGTGAGCTTCTGGGTTTCGGGGGGATAGACACAGGAGCCCAAACTAAAGCTGGGACCCCCGAGTGCTGCCTGCCCTGTGCTCCTGGGACACTGTACTGGAGGAGAGGGGCCTGCCGGGCCCCACTCCAGCTCCTCAGGCCCAGCCATCTAACAGAGCTGCGCCCACCCATTCTCGCCCCCACTAAGCGCCAAGTGGTGCCAACCTGTCGCTGCAGGCAGTGAAGCAGGAACAAGTCATGGTACCCCAAATGGTGCTCATTAACCTCCCACTGGGGCCTCCCCTGCCTGGGCCCACAATCAGGCACTCCCACAGCCCCTGCCCTATCATCTGTTCCTGGGAGGAGGGTCGGGCTGTCTCCCCCCCCCCCCCTTTGTGCTGAGATTTGGGAAGAGGAAGACAGCAGAGGGGCACAGAGCTGAGCTGGCCTTGGGGCCACCGCGAAGGCTGGGTTTGCTTGTCTCATCGAGGCCCAGTGCACTGGAGACAGGGCCAGCCTCAGAGAGCAGTGGTCCTGGAGGGAGACTGCGGCCCGCAGGCAAGGCCATAGGTGTTCTCTCTGCTCCTACCATCTAGGGCAGGGGTGGGCAAACTTTTTGACTCGAGGGGTTCGTATACTGGACCGGAGGGCCGGAACAAAAGCATGGATGGAGTGTTTGTGTGAACTAATATAAATTCAAAGTAAACATCATTACATAAAGGGGTACGGTCTTTTTTTTCAATAGTTTTATTCATTTCAAACGGCCACGGGCCGTAGTTTGCCCACGGCTGATCTAGGGGCACCTTAGGTGGAAGGCCTGCCCATCCCCCATGAGGGTGGAGGTGGTCCTTCCTGCCTCCCTCCCCCACCCTGGCCTCAACTTCAGTTCAGGTCAGCCCTGTCCTCTCCATCTCTGTGTCTCCTGCTCCCCTCCCCCTCCCCGCATCTCACACCGCTCCCTCCTCTCTCCCCATCTGGCATCCTCCTGCATCTCCATTCTTTCTCCCC